AGAAAGAAAGAAAGAAAGAAAGAAAGAAAGAAAGAAAGAAAGAAAGAAAGAAAGAAAGAAAGAAAGAAAGAAAGAAAGAAAAAGAAAAGAAAGAACTAGATAATAAGAAGCCTGCCATAGCCATAGTTTAAAAATAATATTGGTCTGTATGTGTTCATTTGGGTCTGAGGGGCTGCAGGATTGCTGCATGAGAGAGATTTGTCCTGACCATGGGCCAGGCAGGACACAGGAAAACTTTCAGCTGCAATGACATCTACGAACCACGTCCACAAACAACACAGCACAATAACAAGGAGTCAGTGATGGCACACATACCTTGGTGGTAGCCAACAGCTCTCTTATTGGATTTAAGACCCACTTGACAAGAGGGAAATCATGCTCAGTACTAGAAACTTAATTATTCAGTGTTAGTGAAGTTAGTGGATATGGTAAGAGAACCTGCAACTGACACCACACTAAATCAGCATAATCCCTAACAACAATCTGTATAGTTGTCTTTATACTAACAGGTTAAGTGTAGTCTTTACCCCTCATCAAGGAAACTTCCCCTTGAAATGGAGATCCCTACAGGAAACCACAACCAATTAAAATGAAGTTGTGGAGACCAGTCCCAGTGGATACATCTACAAAATAATCCTCACATCTAGGACTCAGGAAAAATTGCAAAAGAAGGGACAGAAAGATTTTAATAGTCTGAGGAACAGAGTTTGCTGTGAGAATGTCTTCCAGGAATGTCAGATGCTATACCCATAAAGTCTCACCAACATGGCTGCCTCAATATGAGCTGAATAAGTTCAGCAATAGACATGCCAAAGTAGACGGAAGAAAGACCATGACTCCTCCACCCTACACACACACACACACAAAAAAAAAAAAAAAAAAAAAAAAAAACAGCAGACAATTAAGGAATATGGACAGCAAGAGAAAAATCTTTCCCAGGGAAGGACCTACTGATTAGTTATCCAATACCAATGGTCAGCCCTGAGAACATACATACAAGTAACATACAGACTGAGAAGGTTATATTTAGAAATATATTTTGTACACACACACATGCATGGAGGGGGGAGTGTGGATGTGTTTGGTGCACACAATAACAATTAAAGAAAAAAGAGGCCATGAATTTGAAAGCAAACAAAGAGGGGTATATAGGAGCACTTGGAGAGAGGAAAGGGAGGGAAAATGTTTGTAATTATTACAATCTCAAAAATGATTAAAATAAATAAATAAATTGACTTGATAGCCACAGTATGCACTTTACAGAACTGAATAGTGCAGTTGGTTTCCTCCACTTGGAATTCACTTCCCTGGACCATCGTGTCTTTCCTGAATGCTGAGCCCTGGTTAGTCAGTTCCCCTGGGCTGGTCCACCTTCTTCCCCAGTAAATGATGTGACCAAACAAGGAGAAAACTGCTGTCAAAACCCATGTGTGTCATTCCCCAGAAGCTAGAACTAATTGAAATTAAAACCAATGTACATTTTAGAGTCAGGGGTTTACATCCTGACTTTGCTATTATTTTAACTGTGTGTCCATGGACATCTATGGTCTCTGTGCCTCAGCTTTCTCCATTTTAAGTCAGGGAAGATTGTGCTATTTATGGTATGTAAAGGAATGAAGATGTGGGACGCATTCAGAATTGAGAGTGGTACTTTGTGATAGCCCCGTGAATGTTAACTCATTATTCTGCTGGGGCCAGCATGAACAGTTCATTATGATGCCTTTAGAAGACATGACTCTCCACTCTCATTTCTTGTGTCTCCTAAGTTTTGAAAACATTGAAAGGTGCATTAATTATCTTCAAAGATAAGGAATCACTTGAAAGTTTCTGAGGAATGTCCAAGTAGGTTAATATTATGTGATGTTTCACTTGGAGCCATTACGCTGGAGGGGAATTTTCTCATTACAGGGATCAAGGGCACTCTGTTCCCATGTTTAATGAGGAAAGTTTTCAAAACTGCTTCAGTGACTTCTTGGAAAGCTGAGATTTCACCCTTTGAAGCAAAGAGAGGCTGTCACTAAACTAAGCAGGTCTGAGGTAGTCAAAGGACCTTGAATGGACAACTGTTGTAATTTTGTCAGTTTTGTTAACATGTATTCACACATATTTAACTCTTCTTAGTTATGACCAACATGGCTAGCCATTTTTCATTTTGTTTTGTTGTTAGCTTGGCCATTTGGAAACTTGTGTGTCAGAAATAGCCATGTTTGTTTTATTGAGTTCTTCTGACTTATAATAATAGAAACTGTAAATTTTCTTCAAAAACTCAACATGTAAAGCTGCTCTCGACAGTGCTGTACACAGTATCAGTGCTGAGTCCTGTGTTGTAGGCTTCTTTTTAAAATAACTTTTATTTGAGATTTATAATTACATCATTTTCCCCTTCCCTTTCTTCTCTCTAAACCCTACCATATAACCATATACTTCCTCCTTGCTCTCTTTCAAATTCATGGCCTCTTTAGTCACTGTTACATGTGTATGTGTATGTATGTATACACACACACACACACACACACACACACACACACACATTCCTAAATACATAAATTTATGTCCTACAAATACAATCTGAACCCTGGAAAACTTGGGACTTAATTTTCATCAACTCTGACTTACATTAAAACAGAGTAAATAAAATTTTGTGCTTGGTCTTAAAATAAAGATTAATACACATCAGTGTACATGTAACCACAAACCCACACATGCATTCTTAGTTTGTGTAACAACTTCTAGATCATTTTTGTTTGTGACATCTTGCTATGATACAGTGGAAGGTAAGAAGTATTCACTTCCAATACAGTTATAAACCAACTGAATAGATGGGCAATCAATAGATGGACTATACTTCTGACCCTGTTTATAAATAAAATATTCCTAACTTCTATAACATGGGAAACAACACAACATTAAACATATTTATAGAACAATTAAAGAGGTCCATCATTTTTGAGAAGTCAAGTCTCATTTCCAGGAAGCATGAGGCCACTCAGTACCTCTCTCAACAATTTGCTTTATGATTAACTATTAAGCATTTCATGGAATTGGATCAAATTTGACCTACATTATGGATGAGCCCATCATAATGTAATTTTGGTTGCTCTGTCAAAGAAAATAATGCGTCTTCCAATGGAAAAAATAATTCTGTGTAAAGCAAACATGATTACCATTGTATATGTGAGTCTTTGTTTTGAATTACAAATGAGTAGTCTTTCCATTCTGTTTTCTTCTCTTCAACCTGTCCTTATCTCAGGTGCCAGACTATTAGTTGTAGAAATGTAGAACAAAACACAACAAAAGAAAAACAAAAGAGATTCTTTTTGACATTTTCCCTTTGGAGGAATATACTTAAATCTATTTATAAATAAGATGATCTTCCTAACTTTTATCAGATAATATCAACTACTGAAATACCATAATTATTTTATTACATTTATTCATCTAGAGTTTACATGTATGTGTGTGAGAGACAGTATGTGTGAGTGTGTGTGGGGGGGTGCATGTGCTTATGTGTGTGTGTTTGTATGTATTGTATAAGAGTGTGTGTGTATGCATTGTGTGTGAGAGTGTAAGTGTGTATGCATTGTGTGTGTGAGTGTGTGTGTGAGGGTGTGTGTGTTTGTATGTATTGTGTGAGAGTGTGTGTGTGTGTGCATTGTGTGTGAGAGTGTGAGTGTGTGTGTGTATGCATGTGAGGGTGTGAGAGTGTGTGTTCATGTGAGTGAGGGTATGTGCGAGTATGTGTGAGTGTGCATCTGTGTGAGGGTGTGTGAGTGTGCATGTGAGAATGAATGTGCTTGTGTGTGAGGGTGTGTGTGTGTGTGAGAGAGAGAGTGTTGTGGGAGTGTGCATGTCAGTGTGTGTGTGTGTGTGTTGTACTTGTGGAAGTCAGGAATAAGTGGATAACCATGTGGGTCCTGGGGAATGAACTCGGGCTTTCAGCACTGTGGCAAGTGTCTTTATCCACTGAGTTCTCTTGCTGGCTTTATTGAGCATATTTGCATAGAATTAAATATAAAAGGAGGTCTGCATCTCATTTGTTATAATCAGCTCTTTATTTTAGTACTTTCCAACCTAATCAAACATCTATTTTGCTTAGAAAAGTACAAGTAGTTCATAATACTGACAAAACATGTAGAAAGTACAAGAAAGAGCAACCCTTCTGTCCACACACCCCAGGGGAGAGATCTTCTGGGGGAGAGGAAAAACGTTAAGTACAGATATTGGGCCCAAGGCAAAAAAAGGCCATTCTTTGGTTTTCAGTGATTGGTCCCCAAAGAGACAAACCAAACCAACACAAGCCCAATGCCCTTGGTGGTACAGGAATTGGGGACAGGTGGGGAGACTAAAGAAACACGAGCCAACTCTAAAGCTCTAGTTGAGTGACATCTCTCCCGGCGCAGGACCTCATGCAAGAGCGTCTAGGATTTCCACACACTGCAGGGTGAAAACGTAGTATTTATTTCGTACCTGACAGGAGTTCTGTGGTAATGGTCAGAGCTGTGAGACATGACAGGCAGGTAGGTAAGGTCGGATGAGCTTGGCTGTGAGTCACAGGAAGGAGCTGGCAACTGACGAAGTCCACCCCTCCAACTGCCCCCGTACACCCTTCAGATCTTACAAACTCCCCCAAACAAACAGGAAAAATCCGTCCACATTCAGGAAGCAAAACTCAGTAGGAGATTTCTTTGCCCCAGAGTGAACCTGGGGACATCACACAACACTTCAGAGCTGATGCATATAGACGGCATCTCAGGGTTAGGATTGCTAGAGAAGAGCAAGTGTAGCACATGCGCAGAAGACACAATGCACTGTAATCCGTTCACCGAGAGAAGGCCCAGCTCTTCAAGGAACAACTCCCCTCTTCCTTTTTGTAATTAAATACTTCCGGACTGGAAATGGGGGAGGGGGCTTTTGATCTCTGCTATCCCTCTGGGAGGCAGGCTATTTTGCTTTCACTTTAACTTTTAATAAATGTATGTTTTTGCCATTGCTTTTCTTCTTTATTTCTGTGTTCAAAACACACACACAATCATCATCACCACCACCATCCTTATTATCACTGCACCAATGAAGACTATTGCTATTACCCTCAGGGAGCATGGTGGGGTCTTGTCAGATAAGAACTCAACAATGGTACATGTGATAAGCATGGAAGGGTAGGGAGGGGCATGCAGTGAAGCAACAGAACTGGATCTTTCCATGGGTAGATAAAAAGGTTAGTTGGAGAACTCAAAAGGGCAGGGGCGGTGCTAGCCAGTTTTAAGGATGTATGTTGTGGGGAGGAAGATGTGGAAGTCTGAATAGCCTGGGAACTCGAGTGGTGGGAGGAGGCCACAGGCCAGAACAGCCAGGGAGCTAGCATGGGGACTTTGATCTGTGGCCGCTCAGATGCCCCGCAGCTATAGGGACAGATAAGGGAAGTAATGACTTTTCCTGACAAACATTAACTGGCTTCACAAGATTTTTGGAGAATGCTAATTTTAGGGTTTTATTTATCTGCAAGCGAGCCTTCCATTTACCTGGTCAGAAGGATCAGGCTGAACTGAGCCTAGACTGTCATTTCGGGCATTCTTAGTGGCACTGTCATTTTGGAGGGCGCTCTTGGACCTAACAGACCCTGAGGTCCAGGAATGATGCTGGGTATCCCTGTGAACTCCAGCTGAGGTCCAGGAGTGATGCTGACATCCCTGTGAACTCCTGATGAGGTCCAGGGGTTATGCTGGTGTCCCTGTGGACTTTACAATCCACAGTTGATAGCCAGATGTCTCCTCTCAGAATCCCAGCACACATGTTGCTGAAACTTACGTGTACTCGGAGGGATGTAGAAGGATCACAAAGTTGGCTAAGCTGAAGCTTTCACCACCTCAAAAGTAGAAACTACACATAATGACAGAAAAAGAGAACAGTTTTTGTTATGTGTATATGCGGCCGAATATGAGAAATGCATGCTTATATACTTGTGCTTCAAGTGGGAATTCTGCTTTGTTAAATGATACATTTCTTGTCACTTACAAAGTTACTGTATGTAAAATAAAAGGTGTGGATGTAACTCCCCACCTTCAAACCAGGAAAAAATGAAAGTTGAAAGTTTCAAAGAAAGGCTGTTTACTCTTCTTTGATTTTTGTCTTCTTGAGTTTCGAAAGTGTTGTCATGGGAAAGTTCTGTCTCTGTTCTCTTTAGCCCAAAACTCAAGACTCACCTCGTGACTAAGAGTTGCTTCGTGAAGGAGTTGTTTCATGAATGTCAGGATGTAGAAAGACGGCTGCCTCTTTCCTGCCTCTCATATGCCATTTAACAGCCTCCTACTCAGCCAGAATTGGCAGAGTGGCTGAGCAGAGAACGCGCTCCTTAAAGGGAATAATAAACAGGACGTATTCACACAATAGGAAGGGGAAATGAGGCAGATTCCAGCACAATGTGAACTGATTTACTTCAGACAATGAATATCTTCCTATCAAGGCTATACAATTAAGGTCCTGCATACTTAAATTTTCTTTAAAGTGGCAAATTTTCTTTCATTAAGGAAATTAGAATAATCTGTCCACCCCCACTCTTCTGTGTGTATAATTATTACTTAAGCCGTGATTACTATGCTTAAGAAATGTCAGCCTTGATTTAGCCCCACCTGGTCCCCAACTCCCACTTCATTTCAACTTGCGTATTAACTTTGTAAATTGCTTTCCAGGTTCTCCAAAGCAGATCGATTGCACTGAAGGCCACAATGAACAGCATCCATTTAGCCATGCTCTTTGCAAGGTGTCTTTGCAGATTTTACCATGAAAAAAAAAGTCCATTTCCTTTCTCTTTAAACCCGGGTTGGCCCTGTGGCTTGCTGCTTTTGCTAAGATGTGGTAGTAGTGAGAGCCTGTCACTTCTAAACTTAGATGGTTTGTTTTTCTCTTGAAAATAATGTCACCATGCTACTACAACATGAATTAGCCTGGACTAATGTGTAGAGGCTGAAAAAAAATCACATGAAAAGTTGGTCCCATTGTTCCAGCTGATGCCACATGACCTTGAAATATGTGAGCATGGTCTAGCCAAATGCAGAAAAGCCACTGATTGAACCCATGACTGACTCAGGTGCATAAGAGGGTTTAACCCAGATGATAAAATCAGTAACGACTGTTTTAAACCATCCCATTTGGGAATTCTGTTCTTAAACATTTTATTTTATCCTAAGACTTATTATTGGTCATGGGATACATGGGTACAGACTTATAATACCGGTAATACTTTGGATTTATACTTTGAGACTTTTCATGTGAACTGGGCATGATGTACTACTTTTACTAATTACTCATTTCCAACTTATATGACCTCTGCTTTAGTCAGCTTGGACTACCATAACAGGATATCAGCAGTTGGGGTGCATAAATGACAAAAACTTTGTTCTTGGGATACTAGAGGCTGAGAAGTCCAAGATTAAGGTATATAGTAATTTGTCTCTTTGTGGGGACTGTCTACTGTTGCCTTATTACTGTTTCCTAGGACTGGAAGCTGGAAGAGAAAGTGCCGGAGAGGGGAGAACTGAAGGAGGGAGAAGGTTAAGGCAGGAGAGGGACAGTCTGCTTTCATGTCTAATCGTCAAAAATGACCCAAATTCCCCCCATCAGGGTCCCACTCATATGACCATGTTTAATTTTAATTACTTGCATACTCCATGTGCAGTCTCCTTGGAAATTAGAGCTTCAGTATGTGAACTTCAGAGAAAAAACTCAGTTCATAACGGCATTGCTTAAAGGGGCCTTCCCTTGGTATCTGGTATTTACACTTAGATTTTTCTAACAAAGGAGATTAAAAGCAAACAGACCAAAGCTGTATTTAAGACATTCTTCATAGTGCTCGTTCAAACTGCCTTCTTGCTAATAATTTTTAATATGCAGTGATTTCTTGCTATGTCCATCTACAAATTTCTAGTCAGTTAAAATGGAGCATTTTAAATTCAATTCAGCACAGTTTTTCCACAAAGTTAGAAAATAAATAATTAGTAAACTGGAAATTTTTCATCATTTGCAGGCAAACTGTGCAGGTCATTCCTTCTCTGCCTCATGTGTTTGTTATTACCTTACAATTTCCAGGGCTATATTTAAGATACCAGTAATATCATCTAGGTCTGGGAGAGTTGTTTCTTCTTAATGTCATTGGAACGTTTCTTAAATGGAGTAACTGATCATGTAAAGCATACTGTTCCCATGGCAACCTCAAGATAATATTTAAAACTATATAAACATCTTTCTTCACAGGGGAAAATGTACATACAAGGAATTTATTTCAAGATAACCAAAATGACATAAGTTTTTGTTTGATATAACCAATGTTTATATTAGCATAGATCCTGCTTTGTCTTAGTTATCTTTGCGTATGATTTCAGTCACTTTCTTCACGGTGCATTATGCATTGTGCTGATTTTTGCAGTCTGCCTTGCTGCCATCTTGAGTTATTTTAATTGATTCATTTAGTCTCTAAAGTAGACTTCAGTTAGATTTTATAATGTGTTAGGCACTATCCATAGTTCTAGGGATACAGTGACAAGCCAATAAGAAAAAGGTACTACTCCTGGAAACTTACAAGCTACAAATGAATATGAAGCACACTGTCCAGCACCACAATCTGTTATGAAAAAAGCAAATCAAGATAAATGGGTAGAGTAGAGGGACCCAGGATCTAAGATTTAAGCAGAGCCGTGTGTGTGTGTGTGTGTGTGTGTGTGTGTGTGTGTGTGTGTGTGTACTGGCAAAAGAAATAGCCACTGTCGGGACCTTGAAATGGTAACAATTTTATTTTAAAATGTCATACTCAAGTAGCATTCCCTATTCTTTTGATCATCTTTTTCTCAGATTTTTGTTTTATAGAAACAAGGTTTTACATAAGGAGACTGAGCATGTTTTCCATGGAGGATTCTAAGATGAATTGCTGGAGCATTTGAATCTGCCTGGCTTTGGAGTTTATAAGCTTATTGGTCATTTTGCTCCACTTCCTGTCACTAACTCTTTAAAAATATTTATTGTCACCTAAAACACCTAAGATCTTTTGCACACTGTTTTAAACATGGAGGCTAGCTCATGGTTAGGTAAACCATGGTGTTTACCATCCCAACACTGTGTATTCTTGTTTGTGCTCAGCTGTCAGTATAGTAGGCCAGAGACTCTTCAGTGGAGTACAAGCATTTAAACTCTCGTGCCACCATCCACCAAGTGTAGATGTCGTGCAAATGTATACATGCTTATGCTTAAAACTTCCAGGTTGCAAAATGGAGATTCATTCATTCTGAAAGTAACATTTGAACATCAATTATATGTGTTTGGTGATACAGTAACCAACAAAAAGACAAAATTAAAACAGTGAACAGTGAATGTTGGAAGATTTATATATGATACATATAATGCTTGGAACATCATAACAAAGAAATGTTAGCTGTATATTTCTTTCTACAGAAAACATATCTTTCATTCCAAAGCTACTAGTGACAGTTGATTGTTAAACTAAGGACCATGACGCTGGAATATAACATGTTCTTGTGGAGATCTCTGCAAACACCAAGGCCAGTAGAGCGCCAATTCACACAAGGTAAGAAGGAAGTTTGAGCCAGGCAGTGGTGGCGCATGCCTTTAATCCCAGCATTTGGGAGGCAGAGGCAGGCAGATCTTTGTGAGTTTGAGGGCAGCCTGGTCTACAGAGCAAGATCCAGGAAAGGCACAAAGCTACACAGAGAAACCCTATCTAGAAAAACCAAAATAAATAAATAAATAAATAAATAAATAAATAAATAAATAAATAAATAAATAAATAAATAATAAAAGAAGGAAGTTTGATTAAACATGCCTCAGTAACCAGCATTGGTTCAAACTTTTGAGAGCCTGACACTGGCTCATTTAAATCAGGCATATTTAAGCACAGCACAATTTGGAAAAAAGTTTCCTGGTGATAATTAACTCAATCCTATGTACACAATAAAGCTTAAGGCATGACTACACCAAAACTCTTTGTAAAGAACATGTGACACCTCCCATAAAGATGAGGTCTACAGATTAACTGAGAAAGCAGACTCAAGGTATATGATAAGGGTCTGGGGTGAGCATAGCACTATAGATTGATTGAGATAAGAGTCTGAAGGAGCCAGATGTGGTCTGGCCATATAGATAGCACAGAGGCCACCAGGCTATTGACCACACCCAGCCTTCTGGGTGGAAAACAGGTATGTGTGTGTGTGTGTGTGTGTGTGTGTGTGTGTGTGTGTGTGTCTTTGAAGAGATGACCTTGCATGTTTAACATTTCTGATTTCCTTAGTGCTTATCTCTGAGCACAAGGACCTCCATGTACCAATGTATAAACAGCTTCTTGGAGTTTTTATAGCTACAGAACAAAAGAAATCCATAAATCAAAGTATTTTTCCAAATATATTTGTTAGGTAGCTCATCAAACATCTGCAAGCTTGGAGGTCATTGAGGATGAAGTCCTCCCTCACAGTCAGGTTATTAAACCTGAAACTAAAGTTTCAGCCTTTGAACTGTTTAAAAGAAAGGGATCTGAGTTGCTTATCTGGACCCCACATGAAGACTGGACATCTTAGTTGTTTATTTGGACCCCAAATGAAGACTGCACATTCTGAACTCCCCTAAAGACCACAAGTTGACTATGTGGCCAAGAGACTATTTGATAAAGAATAAAGTCATACTGTGGCCACACACACACACACACACACACACACACACACACACACACACTCACACACACCCCACACTCCTACAATCCCACTCCTTGCCCCTGCTGAAGAGTTAATGCTAATGGAGCCATCAGGAAGATACCCCTGGACAAGAAGATATCACCTGTACAAGAAGATACCCCTGAGGAAACAAGCCATTTGTTCTGGGGATTTTAAGAAACAGTATAAAACCTACCTGAAAGTGTAAATTGACACAATGGTACCTTTGCTTGTGTGCTCTCACTCCTGAAAGTGTTTTCTATCCACCCTTTCTTAGAGACTGTTTCATCTGCTGCAGTCCCTTTAGCTGCGGCCCACTCTCACCCAGGAGAGCCTCCTATTATTCTGTAATGAACTCTGTCTTCTACAATATACTCTATGTGTCTCATTTAATTTACTGGAAAGCGATCATGACGACAGGAAAGCTGAAGGAAGACCAGAACAAGGCCCCACTAATATATTGCTGGAAAGCTCAGGTAGGTGGGTTATAGTAGAGCAGGGAAATCTCTATTGTAGTTGATGCTCTTAGCTTTTAGGGTAGGTGAAAGCTAGTAGTCTAGGAAGTCAAAAGACTTTACCAGATAGAAAAGGAAAAATGTTCAGTCAGACACAGAGGTGGCTGATGCAAAACAGGATTCCTAT